ATCTATCTACTTCTCTCACAAAATTATTACGACACTTAACTAACAATTATCATTGAGATTAATTAAGAAACAAAAACTGATGAGATGGGTTGTCGTGTTTAATGGTAGGTGACTAAACAACCAACTTGTGTTCACTTGTAACTTTATTCTAGTTTTCAACAACTTTAATTACTCATTTTCCTTCAATGCCAAGAAATAAATTATTACACAAGATTACAAGAACAATTTGCTTTACCAAAATGTTAGAATTAAGCAAAAATCGTAACTTATAATTATTGTAACATGTGAAAATGACTAGGTAAAAAGAACATTAAACATAGTAGTTATTACTTAGAGACCTGCAGCAAATAATTAATGAATCTGTACACTTTTCTGTGTGTGTTTTTCAAGGAAAATTAACCAAGAAATATGCAGGATCATCAGGTAGACAGTAGGCCGAGTAGTAGCTCGTGCTCGAGGCTGCTGGTTCCTCTCCACCATGGCTTCAACCCGAGTTGATCATTATTGAGATCTTCTTCGACTGGTGCAGGCAAGTTGAGATCGAGAAAATCACGAATTGGTTCTAGTTTTTCGATTACAATAGATGGACTGGTTTTCACCTCGCGAATTAAATGTGATCTCTTGTGCCCACCTAAGGCTTGGCCTGATGCGAAAACTTTAAAGCAAATCGGGCATTCGTGATCCTTAGAATTATTCTTGAACCTGATTTCTGATTCTGCCTTCATTGCGAAAATATCAATCATGGGTTTACCATTAGCAGTTTGATTTGGCGAAATATGATCAGAATTGAGGATGTCTTCGCTGTTTGGAGTGCAGCAACCATTGAACTTCTTCTGGCTAGCTCTATGACCCCCCAGTGCTTGATAAGAAGAAAAGGCCTTGTGGCAATGTGCGCACTCATATTTTGGTTTTTTGTCACATAATACATAGTCAGAAGTACCAAAATAAGCAACTTTTTCTTGGAAATTCTCTGGAACACTCAATCGAGGATCGTATAAACCAATGCACTTTCTCTTGCTTAACTTGTTCTTCTTATTAGAATCTTTCTCAAACTTTTCCGATCCGCTTTTCTTGATTTTGGGCGAGTTAACTTCGGACTCATTATCAAGATTCTTTTTCTCAAGAAACCCATATGCGGAAACATGAGATTTGCTCATTTTGAGGCCAGTTTTTGGAATAACAGGAGTTTTGAATCCGAATTTTTCCTCATCAGACTTGGATTTCTTCGACTTTGGTGGAGTAATTTTGTTCGACTCTAAAAAGTTAGAATTATTTTCAGAGGATTGATCAAGAACAGAATTCATAGTACTCCAGTTCGAAACATCCCTCGAAAGCATAATTAAACTAATGGCAACCTCTTCTTGCTCGTGCTGATCAATCTCAGAAATGCAGGGAGAAACATTAGCAGCAATAGTACTTAAAGAAGATGAAGTGTTGTACCTTTTGATCATTCTATCCGATCTCTTTCGTCTGCACGGATTCAAGCCTTCATTATCCGATTCGCTATCCAAATCCGGCTTCAGATGATCATTCGACCCATTCCAAGATTCCTCGTCGACACTAGCAATGTTCCTTCCATTTACAGAGTGGCACTTCATGTGACCAAACAAAGCTTTCCAAGATTGGAAACTTTTTCCACATTCTTTACAAATCCTGTCCTTAAACAAACAATCCTTCTCGTCGTTTGATGCCTTCAAGAATTCGTTCTTCTTCTTCTTCTTCGGATTCTCCAGAAGTTCGTAAACAATTTCGGAGCTACTTTTGACACTGGTAAGAGGTGGGAGCTTCTTTTTCATCAATTTCTCGTCAGATGAAATATTGATCAAATGAGACCTCATGTGGCCTCCTAAGGATCTACCTGAGGGAAAGCTTTTGCTGCAAAACTTGCACATATGTTTTAGTCCCTGATCTTCCTCCATTGAATCAATCAATGAAATCAAAATCCAACAAACAAAGATCAGAGTATGATCAAGAAAAAAGATGATCTAATGAAGCCAAAATTGAATCCAAATTCCGGGATTTCAGATTCTTGAATTTTAGGTGGAGTGTTAACAAGATCTGATGAACAAGAAAAGCAAAGGCAAAGAGCTCTCTTTGCTTCCTTCTCTAATTTCTCTTCTAGTACTAGTAGAAGTAGCTATAGAGTAGTTGAAACTTGAAGAAATTAAAAGGAGGGGACAGTTAGCTTTGTAACTAAAGACGGCTATGAACAAAGCCAAATTAGAAGAAAAAAATAAAATTGGGGATAGAGAGAGAAGTTTATCTCTCTTGCAAATTTTGGTGGAGAATTCCATGCATGGAAGCAAAGATAAAAAGAAGGTAAAAGCTAGCATAGTAGCAGGTGTCCAAATAAAGAACAAGAATGCTACTTGTGCAGATTCTTTTAACAGATTGGTTTACACGTGCTGAGTTGGCAAGATTTCACAGGTTGGTTTAACTTTGTTTTTGTCCAAAATGGAGTGAAATCTTGCAAATTCAGCAACTGTAAACCAATGTATTAAAAGAATTGTACCAATAGCATAACTGAAGAAAGAATCTCACACCAACTAGCGAAGGTGACATACAAAAATTTCGAGATAGTAGATCTGGACGCGATAAAAAGAGTAGCCACAAATAAAAAGTGAGCATTAAATTTAGTGAAATATTCTTTACTTTGTTCAGGTAATAAGTAAATCTTGCCAAGTGAAAGGTAGCTCGTGTTTTGAGTGATAAATTTAGCGAACATTCTTTACTTTGTCCTGGTATTGAGTAAACCCATATTGTAAAGTGAAAGATACCTCGTGTTAAGAGGACATTAAGTTCGGAACAATAAATCAGAGATCAATAGAAGGAGTTGCTACAAATCAAAAGTCGAAGTGTTAAATTTAGTGAAAAATTCTTTACCTTATCTTGACATTAAGAAAGTCACATTGGCAAGTGAAAGATAGCTTGTGTTACAGCTAAGAAAACATTAAGTTCAGAACAATAGATCTAAAATCGATAAAAGATAGTTGTATTGTTTTGGATGGTCGTTTTTCAGTGAAGTCCCACTTAGTTGCTCGAGGGGATTGTCCATTTGTTGGGAATTATTCCATGATTAGTTCGAGCAATTGATCCACGTTTGACTTATCTAACTAGTTCATCCAATTTTGACTTGGCCGATCCATTAGCCAACTAACTAGTTAGACCCTTGTAGGCATTCCTTGTTTGTTATTCCAACTGCGTGCGTGTCATTTTGGTCTAAATGAGACTAGTTATACGTGAAATTTTGTAACGAAAACATTTATCAGAAAATAACATAAATACAAAAATGAACAAGAAATAGTGGTAATTTAGTGATCCACTTTTGGTGATTCTAGGATTGGATCTTGTATGTTGTTCAATTGGGGAATTTCTGAATCAATGTTACCAAAGAAAGGCATCTTATCTTCCTTAATAATGTTACGAAGGTAAGGGAGTAGAACAAGAGAATGGCCAAACTTTTCCTTAGATAGATATTTGTCAATTGGAGCATCTCTTTTAGAATAACAATCTTGCTATACATACATTCTAGTTGACATTCTGCCTTACATTATACTATGTGGCACACGATCTTACCATTGATTTTTCCAACACTTAAAAGCAATTAATGATCTCGATTTTGTCACATATTCAAATGTCATTCAAGTTGTATATATAACTTTGCTCACTTGGTTGGATAAATATTAAAAATCAATATGGTGGTCCCAAATTCACCATCACTGACAATGATTATAAAGGGGTTGATGCCGTAACTTAGACCAATTCGATAATCATATAGAGATAGAGATGCTGATGAAGCGTACATTTATAAAGTGTTTAGTTTGTCGTCCAGTAAAATTACACAGTATTTATCAAATGGTCAAAACCTCAACTTCCCTTCTAGTATGTTTTCATTTTTGTGCGTGAGTGATAAAGCTTCAGCATCTTTTGGCCCTCTACTCATTTCCTTGCTACAAAGATCACCAACAGGCAAAGAATATGAGTTGCACTCAGTGCCATTTCTCGGCACAACTTCTACTCAAGAAAGGGAGGAATTTGTGAACAACATACTTTTTTTCACCCTTTAACTTAAAAAAAATGTCATTTTTCAAAAATTAAGTTACTTTACTATCAAAATAAGAATATTACTTATTTCTATTTTTGACCATTAAAAAATATTTATTTTAAAACTCATTTACTTATAAGCAATTATTAGTATGGATGTTTCCTAGTTTTCACTTGCTAAGCTATGTGCTTACTAATCTTCAATCTACGCCTCATCATACATATGCAAACAAAGACAACAAAGGAATCAAAACATGACTTGCATATTTATTTGCTAACAACAACTTAGATTTTTGGTTTCTTTTACTTTATTCACACATATTTATTGGACCAAGAAAAAATGTACCCTTCCCCATGTGTAATTATACAACGTTAAATTTGTCTCGAACTTTGGGAACTAATATTTTGTGTGAAGAGTCCGATTAACGTCACAAAATATACAATATAGCCTCCGTTTGTTTCTCATTTTTCATTCATAAAAACGAAAAATATGACTGTTATTCAGCACATCAAGCCATCAATTTTGAATTTCTATCTCTTGTGTGGGATCCAATAACAATTATATTTTTCATTCTCATTCTACAATAATGAGAATCAAACTGGCCAATAATAATAATAACAATAGTATTTTTTGCAAATAATAAGTCTTGTAAGAGGTAAAATAAAAATTTATTTTTTATATTATATCATCGTTGACGCAGTTGAAAAGAATTCAATTCAAAATTATATACAGCTAAATCTTGAAATGCCGTCTAAAAGTGTGTCAACGAAAGAATAAGAACAGCAGTGGGAGCCGGCCGGCTTGGTTGTCAACAAAGGCCGGCCGGCTCATTTCACCAAAAAGCTAGCCTGCCACTAGAATCCAATTGCCTCCATCAATTATTATTAGTATTCTTTACAAAACTCTCCTTTTCTTTTCTTTTTTAGTTAAAATTAAGGTAGTGCTCCGTGTTTTTAGTAATGCTCTTTACAAAATTTCATTTAAGAAGCGTCGAGTTGAATTTTATTTTAACTAAAAAATTCGTGGTTTCAGAAGTTTCAGTTATAGGAAAGTCATGATCATCTTACTTTTTAAAATATTGGAACTTCGAGTTAGATTTCTGTTTTCCCTCGAAACATTGAGCGATTCCTTTATAGCAACACCATTACTATTTAAATTAAAGACCCAATAATTATTTACTTTTTTGGGGATTTACCCAATTAAAATTCAGTGGAGTAGAGTAGCATGCTTTTATTTGTCAAGTAACAGTAGTGAGGACAACTTGGGGATCTTCGATTTCAAGATTTCAATACCCCCATTCCTACCACCTACGTCACACACCTAAGTAATCCTACTTCCTTTAAAAGAGAGGTTCTGAAATTCACTGTTCATTCCGTGCCCTACTTTTCACACGAAGAACTGGTTTTTTGAACTGGCTTTAAAAGAGAGCCGTTGTCCTACTTTTCACGTGAAGAACCGGTTTTGAACTGGTTATGTAACATGGCATATGTAATGATGACTGGAATCACCTTTACTTTCGTCTTTATTTGACTTCCTTTATCACTCCTATCCTTAAAAGTGAGAATGCCAGGATCACTGTTCATTTTTGTCACACTCCATTTCACATTGAAACTGGTTTGTTTCTGTAGATAATATGGATTATCTCGCCAGTTCCAGGATCACTGTTCATTCATTTCACATTGAAACTGGTTTGTTCCTGTAGCTAATAATAAAGAAAAAGTTCAGAAAAAATAGTGGCCGGAAAGTGCCCAAAATTAATAGCAAGACAAAGTAAATAATTTTTCTTTAAAATAGTGCTAGACTTTTTGATTTGTGGTAATTCTTTTTGTTGAGCCCGACATCTACTATTCTGAACTTACTATGGTCTCGTGTAACACAAAGTACTTCCACTTGGTAACGTGGGTTTACTTTACGAGTAATTATATTCATAGTAAACACTATCGATAGTCGTCCTACGTGACATAAATGGACGATCTGTAATTTGATATAGTTTTTTATTGAGTCATACATCAATTCATAAACTGTCTCGTGTATGCCACATATGACAATTACTGGTAATTTTCACTATGTTGTATTATTCTTAACTTAATTTCAAGATAAAGTAAACAATTGTCACTAGGCCATCCTCGTTTGATCCCAATTTTTTTAAAAATATATTTTTCCCTCTCTTCTTTTCTAATATGCATTTTTTAATAAAATAATATTACTGTTCTCTAAGTTGTAATATGAATTATGTTTCACTTGACAATTTGATTTAGTCAATACCTAATCGAAGTAAAGGATTTAGTAATAAATTTAAAGCTTAGACTTTTGATTTGTCGCAACTCCTTTTATCAAATCATATTTCTCTAAACTTACTATCCTCTTTACTATAAAATTGAGCTATCTTTCACTTGGAAATATGGGTTTACTTGATACCAAGACAAAGTATAGAATTTTTCACAAAGTTTAACGCTCAAACTTTTGATTTATGGCAGCTCCTTTTATCGATTTTTTTGAACTTAATGTCCTCTTAGCCATAACACAAACTATCTCTCACTTGGAAATGTAAGTTTACTTAATACCTAACTAAAGTACATAATTCTTCACTAAATTAAACACTCAAAAACATTTGATTTGTCGAATAACAATATAGCAATTGCCTTAGCCGGTCTATGTATCACTACCATACCACAATGAGATAGCATTATCCTCAATGCATTATATCAACAAATCCACAAAAAATATATACCTTCAAAATTAATTATGAGCACACACCAAACCCTTTAGCAATTTGCAGCAAATGTGTTTTCTAATTCTTAATTATGTATCTAACTACCTAGCTAGATTCATTTTTAAGCAATGTTTTTTTTTTATATCGTCAGCATCACATTATATTATTTTAATATTGAAATTATAAAAAGAAGTAAAATGAAAAAAAAGAAAAAAAGAAAAGTAAATTAAAAATGTTGGTTTTAATCCCAAGTCAAGGCAAGATCCACTGAGCATGCAGTAGAAAAATATCTCAGAACATGAGTGTATGGAGAGATACGGCAGCTTAACTGCTCCACCATGTATGATCTTCTTCGATTGAGTAATTAAAATTAATTAATTATAAGTTACAAGTCAAACTTTAATCATGCAAGCCATAAATATTTGTATAGGGAGAGTTGAGAATACTAATACTAAAGGGGCATTTTCATGCTCAACTGTATACTTCTGACTTTAATTTGTTTAAATAACTTATTCCTATTCCAATGGGCCGCCAATAGGAAATCCCCACACACACACACACACA